CCAGTCCAGCTCGTCCCTGCCTCCCTAACCTGTTCTTCCTCCCACCTATCCCCTCCTCCCACCTCATCTCCTACCGACCAACCTCATCCCGCCCCCTTGACCTGTCCGTCCTCCCTAGACTGACCTATCCCCTTCCTAACTCCCTACCTACACTCACCTTTACTGGCTCCATCCCCGCCTCTTCGACCTGTTTGTTTCCTCTCCACCTATCCTCCCCTCTATCCCTCTTCTATCCGCCTCCCACTCTCTCCCTATTTATTTCAGAACCCCCTTGTCCTCCCCCTTTTCTGATGAAGGGTCTTGGCCCGAAACGTCAGCCTCTCTGCACCTATGATGCTGCTTGGCCTGCTGTGTTCATCCAGCCCTGCACCTTGTTGTCTCGGATTCTCCAGCATCTGCAGTTCCTACTCTCTGAGCTAATCCTAGTACTCTTTTAATGTGGTCACCTAATAGAAAAACTCATTTACAGCATAGAAAGCAAACATTTGGCCCATTGTATCCACATTGGTCAACAAAGATCTGACTACACTAATTTCATTTTGCAGCTTTTGGCCCATAGCCCTGGAGGCTGTGGCAGCACAAATGAATATTTAAACACTACTTAAATGTTACGAGAGTTTCTGAAACAATCCCCCTTTCGAACAACGAGTTCCAGACTCCAACACCCTCTGCATGCAGAAGTTCTCTTCAACTCCCCTCTTAGCCTTTTCCTTCTTACCTTAGGTCTGTGCCTCCTGTTTGCTGACCTCTCTAATAATGGAAAAAGGACCCTTCCTATAATCCGAAACACCTCTGTCAGGCCCCTTTTCAACGTTGGATGCTCCAAGGAAAACAACACCAGCCTATAGATTATCTCGTATCTCAATCCCTTAAGTCCAAACAGACTCTTTGTAAATCTCCTCTATACTCGCTCTATTGCAAACACATCATTCCTATTATGTAGTGACCAGAATAGCATGCAGTACTCCAGTGGTGGCCAAATCAGAATTGTATACAGTTCTGAGTGCTGCAGAGCCCCACTGGAACCATTTCTAGTCACAGAAACATCCTTCCACCATTACCATCTGCTTCCTGCCTGTCAGCCATTTTGAATCTAATATGCCACTTTTCCTTGGACCCCATGGAGTCTTACTTTCTTGTTCAGTCTATCATGAGGATACTTATCAAAAGTCTTTCTAATGTCCATATAAACTACATCAAATGTATTACTCTCATCTACACTCGGACTACCTCTTCAGAAAAGTCTCTCAAAATTGTCAAACACAGCCTTCCTTTAACAAATCCGTGCTGACTATCCCTCATAAATGCCTGTCCCAAGTACAGATATATTCTGTCCCTCAGAATTATTTCTAGTAACTTTCCCATTACTGAGGCCTGTAATTTCCTGGTCTAAAGCTTCGTCACTTTTTAAATAAAAGGACAAGATTAGCAGGCCTCTGGCACATCACCTGTGGCTGGGAGAGTTGAAAATTATGACCAGGACTTCTGCAAGTCGATTGGATGGCTACTGCTGCTTATGTGGAATCCTTGGAGTGTTCATGGCTAGAGATTTCTGGATGATATAAAGAGAACAAAAGAGGAAGTGAACATGTTTGGACAGAAAAAAACAGAAGTTGCAGCATGCCTTTGTAATTCTGCGTGGTAGGATATGATAGAGGAGAAAGGAGTGGCTGGTAGTTGAGGAGAATGAATAAGAGGAATATGTTCTTACATTTGCCAGGGGAGGCAACGGCCTACTGGTATTATCGCTGGACCATTAATCCAGAGACCCAGATAATATTCTGGGGACCTGGGTTCAAATCTCGGCATGGCAGATGGTGGAAATTGAGTTCAATAAATATCTGGAATTAAGAATCTAATGATGACCATGAATCCATTGCTGATTGTCAGGGGAAAAACCCATCTTGTTCACTAATGTCCTTTAGGGAAGAAAACTGCCATCCTTACCTGGTCTGGCCTACATGTGACTCCAGACCTACAGCAATGTAGTTGGCTCTTAACTGCCCTCTGGGCAATAAGGATGGGCAGTAAATGCTGCCTGGCTAGCAACACCCTCATCCCGTGAATGAATAAAGAAATGTTTGAGAGAGGTAAAGTGCTGTACTTGCCTTTCAGCTTTTGTAAGATCAGCAAAAGCCCTTTCCCCAATAAGCCCACATCTTTAGGGATGAAAGTGTTGGTCTTATCTCTGTTGATCACCACTCTCTACGGCTGATACAGAGTGGCCCTGAAGATGTTTCTGGAGCTGGTGAATAAGTTTGCCCCCTGACTTTGTTTAGGAATACACAATAGCCAGGGCAATCCTTCCACTCATTCCTGGTGCTGATGGTTCATTCACCAGGGAAAAACAGGAGTTGCAGTGTGTTTTTCTAATTGTACAATTAAGAATGTGGTGGGGGGGTGGGGCTGGAAATTGTTGAGAATGATGGGAATAGCTGAGAGATGTTTATCAGGTGCTGTTGAACTGAAATGTCTTCAATTGTGACTTTAGAAAGTACACAATTTAAAACAGTTAGTAAATCTTAATTGAAAATTCAGTGTGTCTCACACAGAAGATTAATCAAATGTAAGGCTTTAAGTGTAAGTTTGCCCTCTCAGAACAAATGAAAGGCCATTGTGAATACGAATATCTGAGAGGATTATCTGTTTTTGATTTAAGGATCAAATTTGCCAGGCAGACTTGAAGTAGTTAGGTTAGAGATCAATTAATGTCCAAATGTTTGATGTCTTTGTCACAAGACAACAATATGTATAGGAAGAAGTAGCTCATATAGTTGAAGTTATTGTAACCCAATCAATATAGTAATTACAGCTACACAGCTTTGGGGATAATAGAATTTGTAGTATAACACTTTTGTTCATTAATCTTTTGTTAATTTAACCTTGCATTCATGTTTTGAAATAGCATGTCGTACATGACAATATCAGGATCATTTTCCCTCTCAAAAAATAATTGCAGGTTGAATATCTTCAGCGTACTAACTGCGATCTGGAGAAGCAGTTGAAAGAACTTATGGAGAAAAAAAGTGATGCAGCAAATGAGGTTGTAAATCTGAGCACGAAAAATGAGCACTTGTGCAATGAATTGAATGAGATTGACCATTTGGCACAGCAGTTGGAAAGAGACAAAGAAATTGCCCTAGAGATTGCTGATAAGGAAATTCAAGAAGCAAAGGTACTACAACATTGTATCTGGAAACTCAAAAGTCATGCTTTTACTGCTTTGTTATATTAATTAATACACCATAGTTGTTTTCTTTTTCAATAGCGAGCATGCAAATGGATTTTGTTTTGATCTAAGGTAGTGACTTGTTTTGCTATGAATGATGAATGACCCAGAGTAAATTCTATTTTTCAGTCTGAAAAGGTATCTGAGAGGCAAGTTTAAAGTTGTACTAATAGTAAAAAGAATGCAAAAGGATTATGTGGAAAAACCTTAAGAAAAACTTATGAAAGTATTATATGAAGTCACAGCAAAACATTGATTCAAGATGGATTTGAGCAATTTCTTGAGATAAAAGAATGATCAACAGGCTTCCAGAGAGGCTATTGAGCATTATTATTTTCAGAAAAAAAGAGTTTTCTGCATTGGATGCTCTTAATTATCTTTAATTATCCCTTTTTGTTTTTTTCATAGGATATGATGGAAAGGGGCTATCATTTGTTAGTCAATTCTAATTGCCCTTGAGAAAGTGGTGATGAGCTCCCTTATTGAACCAATGTAGTTCATTTGATCTAGGTACAGATGTTTCTAATGGTAGCATCATGCTGGAAATGGGAGAAATACCAAAGGATCTATTGAACGTAGAGGCTGCTATAGGTAACGGTGAAATCCATTGTGTGTTTGAAAGGGTGAGAGTGGAATTGTTGGAAACAGAATAGCATAACCAAAAATCTTGTCAGACACACCAAATAGGAATTCTCAGTTGGAGTAAAAGGAAGAGATATTGGAAACATTTATGTGCAAGATTTCAAGGTCAAAGCAGGTTTGACTGAGATGGTGAAACTCTGAGAGTGAAACGGGGTCCTGCAGGAAACAGAGTGGGTGGAAGTGAAGTCAATGTAGCTACGGGACTCGGTCGATTTAGATATCCGTTGATACTGATGGTATAGCCACACAAATGGAGAGAGAAAAGGGAGGAAATAATTTGGAGATTGACTATGTAAAGACAATATGTGTGGTACAAAAAATATATATAATGAGTAAGTTTGGGTAAAAAGATCAGCAATCAAAGAGATAAACAGTGTTTGTTGCAAGGCAGATAGCACAGTTAAGAGAATTAACCATTTTTGAGAATCAACGTTGGGTAAGCAATGAGCTGTTTATCATGCTTGGTGTTAGATCAGTGTATTACATTTCACTATTATATATGTGACAGATCTCTAATTGTCTGTTATTTTACAAAACAACGTCTATTGGTATACTCATTGTTTACAGATATTCACAAGGATTTATTACTTATTTTCCAGAATGAAACCAAGAGGCAGTGTAGAGAAATAGAAGAACTCCGCGAACAGTTAGCTAAGTTCAGGGTTGTAAGTCAGATTTCTCTGTCATTAAGAAGATGAAAATACAAAAAAGCTATTTAAATAAAGGTTAATTATGACTAATCCCACAAATTAATTCTGTTTACTTCTGGTATTAAGTACATAAAAGTCGAATTACCATCTGAAGTTTGTTTAATGAGAAAGCTGTAACATTGTCTTGTTTAAGACATCTAAAATTGCAAGAGGAAATTTTATCCTTAATCTTGCATAGTGTTTTATAATTGTCCTATAACTGATGATACCTTAATTTAATGCACTAAATTTTATTTAACCGGAATTATATAGCATGTTTAGTCAGCAAAAAGGCTCAAAACAAAACACTTTCACAAAAGTGTTATCAAATAAATTATCAATCACTGAGCTATATGAGGAGATGTTAAGTTGGGGTGGCATGGTGGCTCAGTGGTTAGCACTGCTGTCTCACAGTGCCAGGGACCCAGGTTCGATTCTACCCTCGGGTGACTGCCTGTGTGGAGTTGGCACATTCTGCCCGTGTCTGCGTCAGTTTCTGCCAGGTGCTCCAGTTTCCTTCCACAGCCCAAAGATGTGCAAGTTAGGTGGATTGGCTATGCTAAATTGCCCCCTAGTGTTCAGGGATGTGTCGGTTAGGTGCGTTAGCCATGGGAAATGTAGGGTTACAGGGAAAGGGTAGGGGGATGGGTCTGAACTCTTCAGTGAATCAGTGTGGACCTGTTGGGCCAAATGGCCTGTTTCCACACTGTAGGGATTCTATTCTCTATATATATTATATTCAAAGAGTTCAGAAATGTTGGAGCATTGTGGGGCTGGAGGAGCTAACAGCATAGAGAGAATGAGCCCATGGAGCAGTTTAAAAACAAGGATGTACATTTTCAAAACAAATTTTAACCAGGAACCAATGTAGGACAGAGATCAAAGGGGTTGATGGATGAGTAGAACTTCAAAATTTAGCGGAAGAGTTCAGGATCAACCAAGTCTACAGAGGGTAGAACGTGAGAGGCGGCACTGAATGCTTGAGAATAGTTGAGTCTAGAGGTGACAAAGACATTGATATAGGTTTAACAGCAGATAAATTGAGATATAGGCAGTTTTACAGAGATGGAAATTGAGATGTGCAGATATGTGATTGGAAGCTAATTTCAGGGTCAGGTTTAGCACCAAAGTGCAGTTCAGCCTCTGGTAGGAGAAGGCATATAAGGAATTAGAAGGCCTAAAAGGGGCCATGAAATGTCTTTGGCATTTCCTTAGGATTAAGGAAAATCCCAAGGCATTTTACACATATATAAGGAGCAAGAGGTTAGCTAAGTGTAGGTCCAGTCAAGGACAGAAGAGGGAATTTATACATGGAGCCGGACGAAGTGGGGAAGGTCCTCAATGAATATTTTGGGTCGGTATTCACGAAGGAGAACGACATGATAGATGGTGAGTCTCAGGAGGGGAAAGTTGATATTCTGGAGCATGTCGGTATACTAAAGGAGGAGGTACTGGTGTTTTAAAAAGCATTAAGGTAGACAAGTCCCCAGCACCTGATGGGATCTATCCCAGAATGCTAAGGGAGACAGGTGAGGAAATTGCTGGGGTCTTGTACGAAACCTTTGTAACCTGTTTAGCCACAGGCAAGGTCTCAAACATTGTAGCCAACATTGTTCCTTTGTTTAAGAAGTGCAATAGGACAATCTAGGAAATTAAAGACCAATGGCCTTATGTCAGTGGTAGAGAAATTATTGGAGAAGATTCTCAGGAATAAGATTTACTCACATTTGGAAAAATATGGACCACTAGTGATAGGCAGCATAGTTTTATGCAGTGAAGGTCAGGTCTCACAAACTTGACTGAAATTTTTGAAGGTGTGACAAAGATGATTGATGAGGGCAGGGTGGTCGATGTTGTTGAAATGGGCTTGTCAAAGGCCTTGCTAAAGCCCAATTACACAACATCGACCACCCTGGCCTCATCAATCATCTTTGTCACATCCTGAAAAATTTTAATCAAGTTTGTGAGACCTGACCTCCACTGCAAAAAAACCTGTGCTGCCTATTACTAGTAAGTCCAAATTTTTTCAAATGTGAGTAAATCTTATTCATAAGAATCTTCTCCAATAATTTCTCTATCCAGATTGTCCTGTCGCAGGCATGAAGTCGCATGGGATCTGTAGTGAGCTGGTAAGATTGATACTGAACTGGTTTAGTCATAGAAGACAGAGAGTAGTAGTGAAAGGGTGTTTTTCTGACTGGAGATCTGTGACCAGAGGTATTCTATAGGGTCCAGTGCTGGGACCCCTGTTGTTTGTAATTATGAATGATTTGGAGGAGAATGTAGGTGGCCTGATTAATAAGTTTGTGGATGACACAAAGATTTTGGAAACTGCACATAGTGAGGAGGATTGCCGGAGGATACAGCAGGATATAGATAGCCTAGAGACTTAGCCGGAGAAATGGCAGACGAAGTTTAATCCGGACAAGGGCGAGGTGATACATTTTGGAAAATCTAATGCAAGAGGGAAGTGTACAGCAGATAGTAGAACCTTTAGTAGCATCAATATACAAGTGATCTAGGCGTGTAGGTCCACAGTTCGCTGAAAGTAGCAACACACAAGTGGATAAGGTCAAGAAGGCATATGGCATGCTTGCCTTCATCGGTTGGGGCATAGCATATAAGAATTGACAAGTCATGTTGCAGCTGTACAGAGCTTCAGTCACAAAACTGTTCAGAGTCGAAAAGTTTTTTAGTTTAGAAGGCATCATTTGTTGCCTCAGTCTTGGTGGGCCTGTTCCTGTGCTGCACTGTTCTTTGTTCTGTAAGTCCTAGGTAGAAAGCTGGAGTGAGAACTAGGGAATGGATTTTGATTCTGGGACTGGAGACAATAGCATCGCTCTTGCCAATGTTTAAATGGAGAAATTTTCTGTTCATCTTGTACTGTTCTGACAAAATAGACAGTGGATGTGTCAAGCAAGCTGATGGTGAGGTAGAACGAGCTACTTTCAGAGAATATGTGGAAATTGTTGCCAGCTTTCTGGATGATTTCACCAAGCTGAAAAATAGGAGGGGCTAAGAACAGATTGTTGGAGAACATGAGGTAATGTGCAAAGCAGGAATATAAGTTATTTCACGTGATTCTCTGTATGATCAGATAAGAATGGATTCATGTGGACTCAGCTCTAATGTCCATTGGTGCAGCAAACAATGACTCAGTTACAACTTTCTCACTCTTGTGAATTTACTCTTAGGATTCCAAAATCGTAATACGTATCTGTTTCCCACTCAGCAACTGTATACATTGACTACAAAGGCATATAATCACATGTCCCATTTTTCAGCTGTAATGCAATGGCTGTAGCCAACCTATGCAGGTCTAACTGTTGTCAGCTGCTGCTTTATGAACTGCACAAAAGTGTAAATGTCCTGTCCCTCCACCACCATCCCCTTTGACCAATGTCTCCCTCTGTGCAGTGTCCAAACAGCAACTACCACCACTCAACATAGACTGGTTTGATTCTCTCTTTGTCTCTCAAAGTTTAACCAAAAGACCACACAAACTTTGAGGCTTTCAAGGTTTTGACTAAATTACTGGACAGTCTTCTTTGATTAAGAGGACATCTTGTCTTAACTCAAATATTGATGGGTCTATTAGTCAACCCTTTTTATATTTTTGAAAGCTTCTCATGGACTCCGGTTGAGCACCTACACTGTATGAGGTACACTTTTTCTCACAGTCCCTCCAGAACCAATTCCTTATCACTCATCCATTTTTTTGTTCCAGTACTTAGACATGATTTTTTTTTGTTCAAGCACCATTGCTTTGCTCAAGAAGCTCACCCGTGACTGCAAACTCCCCAACCACTACATACACAACTCCCCATACACTAGCTTCCATAAATATCATACTGTGCTCCTTTCGACCACGATTCCTATTACAATCACTTAACTGAGTTTCTCCTTTGTGTAAAGCACCATTAATGCTCAACCAAATTAATATTTCACCACCTTTCCTCCATAGGCTATCCCACCAAGACTGTTCTATGGTCCCACTCCTACTTCAGCCAGTGGGTCCCTAGCAATGACTTCTTCTCCCATCATATCATAGATATCTTCAGAAGGCTGCAAAGTTTCATCCTTGGTCTCACTTTTCTCATTTGCACGTTGAAATTAAAACACCTGGTAGTTCTGCACTGAACACACTCTATTCTTTGTCTCCGCAATTTAACTGCCTGTGTAACAGCAAGTTACAGATGAAAACTTCCTCCATTTGAACATTAGTCATTGCATTCTGCTATCACCTAAAACATAGTACTTTCAAAACTGATTACAATCTCCAAGGCTCCATGTCCATTCTGAAATAGCCACTGCACTGTTTAAATGCTCAATCTGGAACTAAGTTTCAAGCTCCAGATCTTGTGTTAACACCATAATTACTTCGTTTTGACCACCATGGCAATTGCAAACTCCACCCTATTATTTCCACTGATTGAAAATTTTTCACTGCTGTTAGATTCAACTTCACAATGTCTTCCTGGCCTACCCTTTACAAACTCCTCCCAAAAATCAACTTCATGTATCCTGTTTTATTCACCTATTGATCTCTATTTCTATTACAGAGTCATTCGGCACAGAAGAAGCTTTTGGCCCATTTACTCTCTGCTCACCTATCTACATTAATCCAACTGTCCAGCACTTGGCCCATAGCCTTGAATGTTATGACATTTCAATTGTTCATCCATGTACTTTTAAAAGTTGTCAGGTTTGCTGCCTCAATCACTCTCCCAGGCAGTGCATTCCAGGTTCCCACCGACCTATGAGTGAAAATATTTCTCCTGAAATTCCCGATAAACCTCTTGCGCTTCACTATAAAAATATGCCTTTTTGTTATTGATCCTTCAACTAAAGGGAACAGCTGCTTTCTATCCAGCCTCTCCATGCCCCTCTGATCTTATACACCTCAAACTGGTCCCCTATCAGCCTTCGTTGCTCCAAAGAAAGCAATCTGAGGCTATTCAACCTCTCTTCATAACTAAAATTCTCCAACCTAGGCAACATCCCGGTGACTATCCTGTGCGCCACTCCAGTGCATTCACATCCTTCCTGTAGTGTAGTGTCCGGAATTGCACACAGTACTCCAGCTATGGCTCAACCAATGTTTTGTACAGCTCCAATGCAACTTCCATTCTCTGATAATCTATGCCATGACTGATAAAGGCAAGTGACCTTTATGCCTCCTTAATTAACCTACTAACCTGCCCTACCACCTACAGGAATCTGTGGACACCCCATGATCCCTCTGTTCCTCTGAGCTTCCTAGTATGTTGCCATTCATTGAGTACTCACTCATCTTGTTACTACTTCTAAAGTGCATTACCTCACGTTTTTAGGGTTAAATTCCATCTGCTACTGATCAGACCAATCTGTCTTTATCCTCCTGTAACCCAAGACCTTCTTCCTCACTATAAATTACCCAACCAATCTTCGTGTCATCTGCAAACTTACTTATCATTCACCCACATTTTCATAAGTATATCAAGAACAATGAAAGACCCAGCACTGACCCCCATGGTATGGAACTGGACACTGGCCATAGTCACACTAACATGCTTCTACCACCACCCTCTGTCTCCAACTACTAAGCCACTGTCATCTAATGCATCAAATCCAGAATCATAATTTGCAAGCCCTCCCATTATTTCAATCATAAATTAGTTGCTAATACCTCCACATTAACCTTTACAGTCATCTCCAGATTTTGGTCTCCCCTCCTTTTATTTAACCTTTGTGTGAGAAACGTCAACATTCTCATCATGTTCTCAAATTCATTTGTTCAGTTTGGAGACTTGGTCTTTCACCATCGGTTAACAAACAAGATGAAATTGCCCAATTTGCCATGGAGCGTGACGTTCTAAGAATTAAGTAATCTACCTTTATCCTTGCAGGATGAAATCCAGAAGCAGCACAAAGAACTGGAAGGATTTGAAGAAACGATTGCTAGACTGACCAAAGTAAGTCACTTTCTTCATTTATAAGCCCATGTTATTTTTGGATTTGGGGAGAATCTTGGATTCTGAATTGGTTAAATGTTTGGAATGTATAATTTGAATTGGCTGAATATTGTACTTGAAAACATTCTGGAGTATGCAGAAAAGATTGAATGGCTCCAGGGATGAGGAACTTCGTTGTGAAAATAGATTGGAGACATTAAGACCATTTTCCTTAGTGAAAAGAGGACTTAGAGGAGATTTGATAGAGGCATTCAAATTCACAATGTGTTTCGACGAAGTGGAGAGAGACAAATTCCCACTTGTGAAAAGATCAATAGCAAGAGGGCACAGATTTAAATTTTTCGTGAAAGAAGCAGAAGGGCCATGAGGAAAATCCTTTCCAAATATCTGGTGATTAGGTTCTGGAATATACACTGCCTGAGGGTTAGATGGAAACAAGTTCAATTAAGGCTTTCAGAAGGGAGTTGGACAGTTATCTGAAAATCGTAGAAACTCTACAGTGTGGAAGCAGGCTGTTCAGCCCATTGAGTCCACACAGAGGATTTTGCTGATATGAACTCATCAATCTTCTGAAACCAGTTATTGGAGAAACCAGTTACACCAATATGCTGAACATACAGACTGGGGTATAATTAAGTTGGAGTGGGCAAAGTCATCATTGATAGTTGTATAGCAAATGTGCTGGCTAATAATACTTTATTTACAACATCAATGGTAACTGAACTGATAAAATGACATATTTCAATGTGTACTTGGTCAAATATTTTTATTAATTCACAAAAATCTAACTATAGTCACAACTTTAGCATAAACATATCACAGAATCATTATTTTCAATAACATGCATTTATTTGGAGTGTTTAACACTGCAAAACAACCCATGGTACTTTACAGGAATGTTACCAAACAAGTGTGACATAGAAACTAATAAAAGAATGTTACAGCAGATGACCAGAGGCTTGGAAAAAGGGATGGCTTTTAACGGACATTTTCAAAGAGAAAAGAGAGGCTAAAAGGAGGAAATTCTAGAACTCAGGCTGTTGGCAGCTTAGCACCATTGCCTCTAATAGTAAGACAATTAAAGTTGGAGATGTGCAGGAGATCAGAATTGGAGGAGTGTAGTTAAAATGTGAAACTTGTTATCACAGGAATAGGCAAGCTGAATAGTGTAAATCCATTTAAGGGAAAAGTAGTAAACACGCAGAGAAGAAAAGATTAGAAAAATATGCTGATGAGGTCGTATAAAGAGAGGTGGAACTTCTTTAGAAAAATTTCATTGGGTGTGGATGACTCTCGCAAGCCCAACGTTTGTTGCCTGTTCCTAATAACCCTTGAATCGAATGACTTGCTAGCCTATTTAGAAGGTATTTAAAAGTCACCCTTGCTGTGGGTCTAGAGTTACATGTAGCCAGACTAGATATGGTAGGTTTCTTCCCTGAAGTACGTTAATAAATCAGATGGAGTTTTTATGACTGTTATAGTCTGTTTTATGGCATCATGAAACTATTTTGTTGTGGTCACCACAAGTTACCTTTAATTTGTAGAGCTGGATGAACACAGCAGGCCAAGTAGCATCAGAGGAGCAGGAAAGCTGACGTTTCGGTTCTGGACCCTCCATTTCTGAAAAAGCGTCCAAACCCGAAACATCACCTTTCCTGCTCCTCTGATGCTGCTTGGTCTGCTATGTTCATCCAGCTCTACACCTTGTTATCTCAGATTCTCCAGCATCAGCAGTTCCTACTACCCCTTACCTTTAATATGGCTACTTTGTAAGAAGTCTCACAGACAATCAAACACTGAAATAACAATTCAAACTTTATTGCATGTAGCAACCAAATATTAGATCCTCCAAATAAGCAAGTATAAGCCGGCGACCCAATTTAGCTATTATCCGATTAATGGTGAAATCTGGCCAGGACTTCAACTAACAGTGATCTGTCTCTGGGAGGAGTCCCCAGGGTTCGGACCGTCTGCAGTGTTGTTCTTCGAAGTTCTGCTCTTGAGTTGTTCTGGTGTTTGATTCTTACACAGATTTTCATCCTTCAATCTCTGAGGTGATATATTGATGATTTCTTTAGTGTACTTTCATTCGAGTTACTGCAGGTCCGCAGCTGGCTTCCTTATCAAAAACAATTTCTTCGTTTCTTGTTACGTTTGGCCTTAAGAGTACCTTTGAAGGCAAAGCTTTCTTGTGATTAACTCTGTAAATTCTTCAGGGTAATCAGTTGTCATGTGACAATGAAGCATCCAGTTTATCAGGCAAGTGTCAAAGCAGTTTTGTTTATGTATTCACAGCAAACATGATTAATTGCTTGAGTCTCTGTGTAACAGCTGTCTTTGTTTTTGAACAGTTTATTCCAGACAGTTATTGCTGTATGTAGTAATTTATCATTTGTTGATTCATTCAGTCCCTAAATAGTTATTAGAATTCTGAAGTCTTTATTACCACAATTTTAATTTTAGATTTTAACCAATTGATCTCATTTCAATTCCAAAATGTCGCCAGAGCACTAGTCTAAACCCTTTGGTTACTATTCAGTGACATTACCACTGGCTGGGTTTTGCTTAGTGTTGTAATGTTAAACGCAAGTGAAATTTGCCATAGGCTGCTGTCTCCTTAGAGAGATACACCTGATGGTGAGTTTAAATGGAAGGTCACCATGCATTAGGCAAGGTGTAAGTTTGCCTCAGCTGGAACTGACTACGTATTGTCTGCATCACTGTATCGCACACCAACCATCCAGCCAACTGAGTTAACCGACCTCGCAACATAATATTTCTTGTCCATGATTACAGTAACCCTTACGATAATGAAAATTAAATGAATAATTCTTGTTTCAAAAGAATGGGGCTTGATTCACTTGTCTCTCTAATATGAACTTTAAAAAACAACCTCTTCCCTTCTGTAAGTTGGCTGCTGTAGCTTTGGGTAAATCTATCCTTTTTTCTGGATGCTTGGCTTCACTGGGGATTTCTGTAGCAAGGATATCTATTACCATCTTTGTTCAATAGTCAACTTAACTAGTTTTGCATGTACATATCAATGTATATTATACAACTCTCTGGATTCAAAAACTTCAGAATTCAGAAGTGATTAACAAGCAGCTGTGATACCTCTTTAATTATCTTATGCTTTTCTTCACTCTCATTCTCGTTGTCTTTTTCTAACCTTTTCCATCTGCCCCAGAGTATGTTGCTTTTTAACCCCCAATCTGTTTTTTTTTTATCTTTCTAGTTTTGATTTTGTGGCTCCCTGAATGTAATTATCTGTAGCCCCTAATTGTACATTCAAGATTTTCTCTCCCCTCATTCACTAGTTTAAATGCTCCACTGCTGTATGTAGGTTCTTATGAAGAAATTGGTTTTGCTGGAACCCACCCAACTGGACTGTCTCCTTACTCCCAGACATCCTGTCAGTATCCTCAATCTGAATAATTCACAGAGACATAGAGTTATACAGCACAGAAACAGACCTTTTGGTCCAACTCATCCATGCCAACCAGATATCCTAAACTGATCTAAATCCTAAAATTGCCTCTTCGAAGTCATCATGCAGCAAGTATGTATTAATGAACTGCTGGGACTTCAGCTAAAATCTGTTTCTTGGGAGAATTGCTACAATAAAGCTACATCTGAATGTTAACACTAATTTGAGAAGGGGATGTTTCACATTGTAATTGTAGCAGTCTAATGAATGCTCCAATGAAATACTTGATGTTTCTTGCCAAATACCATGTTTTAAATTATTTTTCTAAATGTGTAATTATAATACTGTTCTAGGAACTTACTGCAACACATGTTGACAACACCAAGCTTCAAGAAGAGTTACAGTGTAAAGTGGAAGAAAACAAAACTCTCAGTGATTTGTTAAATCAAGTAAAACAGGAAAAACAAAGGCTGATTGAAAGAGTTGATAAACAAGTAGCAACAGGTAATCATAGATCTGCCATGAGACAATACAATAACACTGTACATCTGAATTGGAAATATTGATTCTTTCCTGAGTTTCTGTAATCCCTAAAAGCTTTTTTTTTGTTTTAATTTGATGTAGGTGTTGGTTTTAATCTAGTTCATTTTCACAGAAATCTCCTTGTGCAGTAAATATATATAGAAATGGTGTTGAGTGAAAATTAACTTTGTTGGCTTAAAGAAAAACAATTTTTTTACTCCTGTCCCTGTAGTAGCATGAAATTTGTTGCTTATAACCATGAAGTTTTTTTTTAAAAAGCATTTATATATGAATTGAATTTAGTATCATACTCGTCTCATCATACTATAGTTAATATACTCGAAGTTAACATTTTCACTCTTATATTACTAAGTATCTTAGAACTTCCAGCAATGACCTGTACTTGTAATTGCTTAGTAGCACAGAGATTAAACATTACGAAAAAGAGACACAAAAT